TTCCACTCAGTGACCCTATTTCTGTTTACAAGACCCTAAGCTTGGACAGGGGCTGTGAAAAGGCCCATCAAGGATGGAATTTCAGGGTTACTGGCAGAGTCTTAGATCTGTGCCCAGGAGGAGCTCTGGGCCTACCTACCTCCTGTGTTTGTCCTGATTAGAGACTAGTGAGCTGGGCTGTGGAATGGTCCTTGTTTGTTGATGTTGTTGTTGCCATGGAATCTGCCCTCCACTCCTGGCAGTGCCATCCCCATGATCAGCTGTGGATGTTCCGTTGTGACCCACAGGTTGCCAGGCCGCTCTTCCTAAGCATCTTAGTCTGAAAGTTCCATTGAACCTTGTTGAACATCACTGCATGCAAGCAAGCCTCAACCAGAAGATGAGTGGTGGCTTCAAACCTGGGTCTCTTCTGCATGGAAGGTTAGAATACTCCCATGGGACCACCACAGCCTCCCAAGGGCTGTCCAGAGTCTCCCCACTCTGTAGGCAGCTCTCGTAGCCCAAGTGGCAGGTGAAGCCATTAGGAGCAAGACATGCAGAAGCTGGATGACTGGTGCCCAGAAACCACACAAGGAATCCGAGCAGACCTGGGCAAAGTGCCAAGAGTGTCTGTTACCACCGTCAATGAAAGTACTTGGGTTGAATTTTCAGATGCAAAATTGGAGTTCTAAAGATAAGTGAATGACTTGCCTTAAGTGACCCACCCAATGAGGAGTTCAGTGGAGTAACTCCCTACCAAAGAAAGGAACCGGGCCGTCTCTCTCAATCCCTCCCAGATCACAGTCATAAATATGTCACTGAGAACTTGCTGCATTGACTCACCTCACTGCCTCTTCCCACATTTGGTTAACAGCATCCCAAACTGAGCAACAAATCGATTCTTTAACTCTCCAGTAAGACACGTGCATTATGTAGCAGACTCCTCCTGCAGCACCACACATCCCACATCCACAAAGCACGCATACTCGTGTATTGCACATTTCACCGATGGATTGGTAATAGACCAGTCCCAGGTGGCACTGAGTCAACCCCAATTCACAGCGACTCCGTGGGTGTCAGAATAGAAAGAAGTCTGTCCATAGATTTTTCAGTGTTTGACTATAGGTCAAAATAGACTTTTCTTCCAAGGCACCTCTGGGGGGATTTGAACTTCCAATCTTGCAGTTCTCAGCCAGCCTGCTTATTTTCAAATTGAGCCAAGTGGGATTTCAGGAGAACATCCTCTTTGAGGTCACACCTAAATTTTGAGGTGCAGTTGCTTACAAAAGTTGCCCCAAATATCTAGTTATGCACCAGTGTTGTTTCTTTATATTTGGGGTGTCAATCTTGATTAAAATCCCGATTTTATCAGCTTTCCAGAGAAATGATTCTTTGCCTTGAGAAGAGATTTTTTAATGAAAAAAGGGGAAGGAATTCCCAAACAAGAGCTCATGCATCCACTTACATCAGTTTGCTGTGGTAACTGTATTGGACTTTCCATCGCTCAGAGGGGAAATGTCAGACTCCCTTGCAGAATGGCCAATTCAGCAAGCTCGTGGACACTCTCCTGTCTCTTCTTTCCTCTGGCTTCTCCAGTGCCATTGCCTAGCCAGTTGGTGAGCTGTATTATAAGCTTGGACCCCACTGGCTTGGTTGGGGTTTATCATCTTCTTTATAGTTGCATCGGCGAACATGTGTTGAAGATTTGCCGCCTACCAGGAACTCTTCTAAGCACTTTACCTATGAGGTGAGTACTACTATTATTTATATGAGGTAAGAGGCAGAGGGAGCACAGAGAGGTTAAGCAGCTTACTTAAAGCCACACAGCAGTGCAGTAGACAGAATTCTAAGGTGGCCCTTGTGACTCCTCCCTTCTGGAATCTATGGTCTGTCTAATTCTCTCCTCTTGAATTTGGGCTGTGATTGTAGCTAGTTAGGTGCTACTGAGTCGGTTCTGACTCATAGAGACCCTACGTAAAACAGAACAAAACACTGCCTGACCCTGCCTCAGCCTAACACTCCTTGCTCCATTTCAGCCCAGCATTGCAGCCAGGTCATCTTGCTGAGGGTCTTCCTCTTTTCCACCAACTCTCGACTTTACCAAGTATGATGTCCATCTCCAGGTCCCTCCTGTTGACAAGTTCAAAGTATGTGAGACGAAGCATCCCTAGCCTCACTTCTAGGGAGCATCCTGGTTGTACTTCCAGACAGATCTTCTGGAAGTTCATGGTATAGTCACTATTCTCTGCAACATCGTGAGTGTGGACAGGGCTTATGAATTGGATGGGATGCCACTCCCATGATCTTGCTCCATTGCATAGCAAAGGTAAAGAGATTCTTTGGGTTTCATTAAAGTCCCAATCAGTTTGCTTTGAGTTAACAAAAAACAGATTATCCAGGATGGGCTTGAACTAATCAGTTGAGTATTTCAAAGAATGTTGAGGCATTCTCTGAGCTCAGAGAGTCTCCTATTGGCCTGGAAGAAGCAGGCTGTCACAAGTTTCACAGCTACAAGAAGATGAATTCTGCCAATAACTCTGTGAACCTGGAGGAGGACCGAGCCACCCATGATCCTGCCGCCTCAGTGGACCCTACACAGAAGACTCTCTGGAAACATCAGTATATATTACTATAAACCAGGGTTGGGGGCAAACCAAGACACCCTGACTCTAGGCACCTAATATTTTTCTTCTGCATTTTGAAGGCCCAATGGCAAGGAAAGTCAAGTACAGCAGAGGAACTACTACACCAAGTCCTTCGTGGCTGTGAAGAGAAGATGTTGTTGTTGTTGTTGTTATGTGCCGTGGAGCCAGTTCTGACTCATAGTGCCCCTGTACAGGGTTTCCAAGGGTGTAAATCTTTATGGGAGAAGAACGCCGCCTCTTTCTCCCACGGAACAGCTGGCAGTTTCGAACTGATGACCCTGAGGTTAGCAGCCCGATTCGTAACCACTACGCTACCAGAGCTCCTTTAAGGAAAAGATGAGCTGGGTTAATTGAAATGATGGAGCGCATGCTCACTGTAGCCGATTCATGATCCACCTCCCTCAGAAGAAGTTGACACCCAGTTACCCGGGACAATGGAAACACATTTCTCTGAGCATCGGTGGCCCAGAGTTAAAACTCCTGCTTTCTGAGAAGGAAACAGGAACTGCTTCCAAAGGCAACATGTCTCTGTAGGTTCCTATTGTGATTCTGGCTGCTGACAAGAGAACTATCTTGGCCTTTCTCTGTTCTTGAAAGTAAAAACCGGAACCCTAAAGAGACCATCTGTATGTGTGTGGTCAGGGGGCTCTATGCGGTGAGGGCCCCTTGTTGTTAAGCTAGAGCTAAATCCCCTAAAGGAAACACAGGAGAACAGGAGGGTGAGGATTAAATGAGAGAAGTGTTGTCTCCTGTCTATTGACCTCAACTTTAATGGCAAATGTCTGGGTGCTGAGATTACAATTCTGAGCCTTCTGAGTCACTATAATGGGAACAGCATGTGTCCCGTGACTCACAGAGCCCCAGCAGATTAGCACAGTGAGGAGGGCAAGGTCAGCACATGCAGCTACCACTTGTCAGCTGTGTGACCTAACACAAATGATTAACCTCTCTGAACTTGGTATCCTCAGCTGACAAGTGGAGTTTTCACCTCAGAGAGTGTGATGATTGAATAAAATGATGTGTGTAAAGCACCAGAAGAGTGACTGGCACAGAGCAAGTGCTCAAAAACCGTTAACAAGTACGAATGCTGCTGCTGCTACTGCCGTTGTTACTATCACCACCATGAACACTATCAACACCACTACTCCTATCAACACCGATACTATCACCACCACCAACAGTACTATCACCACCACCACTATCAACACCAATGACACTATTAACACCAATGACACTATCAACACCAATACTATCAACACCAATACTATCAACACCAATAATACTATCAACACCAATAATACTATCAACACCAATGATACTATCAACACCAATGACACTATCACTACCACCAATAGCACTATCACCACCATGAACACTATCAACACCACCAACAGTACTATCACCACCACCACTATCAACACCAATACTATCAACACCACTACTATCAACACCAATGACACTATCAACACCAATACTATCAACACCAATAATACTATCACCACCAATACTATCACCACCATGAACACTATCAACACCAATGACACTATCAACACCACTACTCCTATCAACACCGATACTATCACCACCACCAACAGTACTATCACCACCACCACTATCAACACCAATACTATCAACACCAATGATACTATCATCACCACCATGAACACTATCAACACCACCATGAACACTATCAACACTACTACTCCTATCAACACCACTACTATCACCACCACCAACACTACTATCACCACCACCACTATCAACACCAATGACACTATCAACACCAATGATACTATCACCACCACCAATAGTACTATCACCACCACCACTATCAACACCACCAATACTATCAACACCAATGATACTATCACCACCAACAACAGTACTATCACCACCACCACTACCATCAACACCGATACTACCATCACCAATACTCTCACCACCACCACTACCATCAACACCGATACTACCATCACCAATACTCTCACCACCACCACTACCACAAACACCACCACCACCAGTCCTACTGCTCCGTCACCAGCACACCTCCCTGCCACTATCACTGATGCTACTGCTCTCATGTCATCATCAGCATCATGATGATCAAGCTAACTTATGCTTCAGACACCTTGGAAATAGCTCTAATCTGCCACCTTGCAGAATAGAGTTAAATATGCCTTAAGTATCCAGGAAGGAAAGAATAAGACCTCCATTTTTACTAACCAGAGCTGTGGTCAGCGAAGGAACACTGCCATTGTGCCTTGGCACTCTGAACCTTCGCTCACTACATAATCTTCTGGCTGCAGCGTGGTGCCCCTACAAGGCCTGACTCGGGATATAGAATGTGTTAATCTGCTTCTGAGACTATCCCATTCCATGTGGCAGCTACAGTTTGATTTATATGAATAAACACACATACTGTCTTCATGAACTAATGCTGCCATAACAGAAAGAATACCACAAGTATCAGTTTAAAGAACAGAATTTACTGCCTCCCAGTTTGTGAGATCTTTTTATTAATTGGAAGTGATTAGGTTTAGGACCCATCCCACTCTAGTTTGGCCTCTAGCAGAACAAACAAAAAAACTCCCAACAGGACACATCCAAAGGTACAGGAGACAGGATTTCAAAATATACTTGGGCAGGGGGAGACAGAATTCAATCTATAACGCAAATCTTTTTTCTTTTTTGAATCACATGAAAGACCAACCAATTTCATGGAGAGTCTCCCCGAGAAATGCTGTATTTGCATCCACAAATAGATTTTAAGCATAGTTTGGGGGCTGCCCAAGCCAGAACCAGCAATTAGGAAAAGTATGAAGTACTTGTGTATGCTCCCCAAACGTACAGAACTCTTTCACACACACTATTTCATTTGCTCTGGCCCACTCCTATAAAGTGTCACACATACCCTTGTTTGTCAAGAGTTGGGTGAATGTCGCTTTTAAGGTAAACCTGAATGGACAAAAGTCTGTCTTTTCAAAAGAAGCTGTCAGTAACATAACTGTAAGAAGGAATGCTAGTTCAAATGAATTGTACAGTACATTTCATGAGGTTTTTTTTTTTTTTTTTAAAGCTTTTCTTATTAAATAACTATAAAGCCTCACAAAAATAGCTCAGACTAACTGGGGAGAAGGCCAGTCATAATTAGTGGAAAACCTGAAATGCTGAATATTTTTAACTAAATGGACTTTTAATAGTTGAAGGATGCACAGTGTCGGGGAATCCACAGATGCCAAGTATCAGCCTGGTGGCTGAAGGAGGTTAGAAAATCCCACCATGTGAGCTTGGAGGAGCCCTGGACACTCAATGGGACCACAATTTCTTCATCTGAAAAGAAACAGGCCCCGAAGGATTGGAGCATCTCCAGGTACCTCCCAGCTCTACAAGTCTCATCTCTTCTAATTATGTTCACACTATTAATTTGCTTCACAAATTCCTTTTTCATGGTGAACTTTGAGGGACTGTTACATATTCTAAATTAGCAGGGTTCAAATTAATGAGTTTTCACTGTCTTCCAGGCAGATTTGGAGATGAAAAAGAAGATAGAAAAAGCAGTGAGATTTTGTGGGGGCAAAGTCTGGCACAGAATCTCAACCATGTGGCTACCCCAGACCCCAGGGTATATGTGATACACAATCACAAGACAGATGCAAATATTTCTGAAAAAACAACCTGGTAAGCTGCCTATTTATCTAACCTCTATCCATTGTCCTTGGTTCAATTCTGATCCCTGACAGCCCTTTGTGTTATAAAGTAGGACTGCTCCATAAGGTTTTCTTGGCTCTTATCTTTATAGAAGCAATTCACCAGGACTTTCTTTCATGAAACCACTGGGTTAGAGTTAGCACTTGTCTAACCCAAGGACCTCCTATTTACCTACCACTGGAGAGGGGAAAAAGAAGCTTTGAGCCTGGTGACACAGTGGCTAAAATGCTTGGCTATTAACTGAAGGGTCAGCAGTTCAAATCCACCATCCACTCAGCAGAGGAAGGACGTGGTCACCTGTTTGCATAAAATTTGTTACTTACGGACTTCAAATTGGTCCCAATGCATTGTTGCTGTTAGATGCCATCGAGTTTGTACCAACTCATAGTGACCCCATGCACAACAGAACAAAACACAGCCTGGTCCTGCGCCTTCCTCACAATTGTTGCTACATTTGAGCCCACTGATGCTGCCACTGTGCCAATCCATCTCACTAGGGGGCTTCCTCTTTTTCTCTGACCCTCTACCTTACCAAACCTGATATCCTTCTCCAGCGACTGGTCCCTCCTGACAATATGTCCGAAGTATGAGAGACGAAGTTTGGCCATCCTGGCCTCCAGGGGGCGCTCTGGCTGCACTTCTTCCAACACAGATCTGTTGGTTCTTTTGGCGGTCCGCGGTACTTTCAATATTCTCCTCCAACACCATAACTCAAACACATCAATTCTTCTACGGTCTTCTGTATTCACTGTCCAAGTTTCTGTATTCACTGTCCTGAGCATGCATGGGAGCTTATTGAAAATATCGACTCATAGCGACCCTTGGTGGTGAGCTTGAATCGCCAACCTTGCAGTTTAAACCAACCTTGCAGTCCAGCGCATTAACCACAGAGCCACAGCAGGACTCCAGAAATACTGTGAGACAGTTCTGCTCTGTCCTAGAGGGTAGCTGTGAGTTGGAACGGACTCGAGGAAAAGGATTATTTATTTACTCATTCATTCCCTCCTCCATTCATCTGAAAAACAAGATCACCACTGGTGTCTCCAAAGAGGATGGGGGTCAGACACCCCAAGGTACATGCTAATGAAAGTCCATCCAATTTTCCAGAAATTGGAGGCACCCCCAACTTCTCAACCCAGATAAAGTTTCCCAGTTGGTGTCAAAGGCTTTTGCGCAGTTGCCAAAAGGTCAGGCCTAATAACTACCGGGGACTAGTCCCTGGAGAAGGACATCATGCTTGGTAAAGGATAGGGTCATCTAAAAAGAGGAAGACCCCCAACGAAATGGATTGGCACAGTGGCAACAGCAGTGGACTAAAATGTAACAACTTTTTGTAACAGCAGCGGGGGCTGGTCAGGACTGGGCATGCTTCGTTCTGCTGTGCACAGGCTCGCTATGAATTGGAACCGACTTGACGGCACCCAACAATAACTACAAAAGCTAAGCCTGCTCTTTACTTGGTATTACAGAATGAAGAAACCCTGCAGGTTCAGTGATTAAGGGCTCGGCTGCTAACTGACAGGGTGGCAGTTCGAATCCACCCATCAGCTCCACAAGAGAAAGATCTGGCAGCCTGCTCATGTAAACACTCCAAACCTACTGCCATCAAGTCGGTGCTGACTCATAGCGCCCTGTACAGGGTTTCTGAGGCTGTAAATCTTTATGGGAGCAGGAAGCCTCCTCTTTCTCCCACTGGTAAGCGTGAACTGCCAACCTTGTGCTTTGCAATCCAGCACTTATTCTACAGGTCACCTGGATTCTTCCTGTCAAAACTGTTGTTTTTAAGCGCCATAACGTTGGTTCTGACTCATAGCAACACTGTGTACAGTTCCCAAGGAGCACCTAGTGGGTTTGAAGTGCTGATCTTGCAGTTAGCAGTCCTGTGCTTACCCCACAGCACCACCCTGTGGGGCAGTTCTACTATATCACGGGGGGTCACTTTTAGTTGAAAAGTGGCCCGATGACCCCTAACCACAATATGGATTGAATGATGCCCTGTTCCCAACTCTGGAGATAGAGTCTTTGAAGATGTTATATTGTTACGATGCCATGAGGTCATACTGGAGGAGGGTAGGTCCTAAACTAATCTGGGCATTCTCCTATAAAGAGAAGAGACAGACACACAGAAACAGAAGGGGGATGGTAAGGCGACAAGGGGGTGATGCTGCAGCCACCAGCCAAACAACACCTGGGGTTACCAGAAGCTGGAAGAGACAAAGACTCCCCCGAGAGTCTTTGATGAGAACAAGACCTGGCTGACACCCTGAATTCAGATGGCGGTAGCATAGTGGTTAAGAGTCGGGCTGCTAACTTCAAGGTCAGCAGTTCAAAACTACCAGCTCTTCTGAGGGAGAACGATGAGGCTTTCTGCTCTCATAAAGATTTACAGCCTTGGAAACCCTATACGGGATCACTATGACTAGGAACAGACTCCAAGGCAAAAAAAACCAGCCCACCAACCAACCAACCAACCAACCAACCAACCAAATAACCAACCAGCCAAATAACCAACCAACCAACCAGCCAGCCAACCAACCAATCAACCAGCCAGCCAGCTAACCAACCAACCAACCAACCAACCAACCAACCAACCAGCCAAATAACCAACCAACCAACCAACCAACCAGCCAAATAACCAACCAACCAACCAACCAACCAACCAACCAACCAACCAACCAACCAATCAACCAACCAACCAACCAGCCAAATAACCAACCAAACAACCAACCAAACAACCAACCAAACAACCAGCCAGCCAGCTAACCAACCAACCAAGCAACCAACCAACCAGCCAGCCAGCTAACCAACCAACCA